CGCGGGCTTAGCTCGCAGGAGCGGCCAGGTGGGCGCCGGGCGGGCTGCGGCTGCCGTCGCGCCCCATCTCGGGTCCCTGGCCTGGCTCTGAGCCCTTCCTTCCTTGGGACCTGGACTCTTCCCCCGAGGTCTCTCCCCAGGCCGGGGCTCGACCTCCCGGAGCTCTCCAGGTCGCCCCCCAAGGTCCCTGCACCTTGCGCCTGGCCTGCGGCTTTCCCGTCCAGCGCCCGCAGTCTCCGCTGCGCCCTCTTTGCTGTCTCCGCCCGACGTCTCTGTCTGGGTGGCGCGGGCTGCACCTCCGTTGCCGTCGCTGGCGCGGGCTTTGTCTCTCCAGACTTGGGGACCCTGGCCGCTCCCCGTCCCGGCAACCGTCGTTTTCAGCCTCTTTCGGCGCGGGCCCCTGTCCAGGTCCGACTCTGCGGGGCCACGCCTCGGAGCTCGGGCTCCCGGGTCCGGCTGTTTCCCGGTCCCCAACCCTCTTGCTGGCACCTCCGCCTCTCCAGGTTTTCCTTCGGTGTCTCTGTCGCTCCCTCTGCCTCGGTCTCTCCCAGATTTCCCTCGTCTTTTGGTGTCTCAGTCTGTCCCTTGTCCCTGCGTCTCTTGACTCTGTCTCTCTCTCTCTTAGGTTTCTCTTTGGGCCTCTGTCTCCCGTTATCTCTGATCTGGTCTCTCTGTCTTGCTCTCTCTCGTTCTCTCTCTCATTTCTCTCCACCTTTATCTCTCTCATCTCCCTGTTTTCTGTGGCTCGGCATCTGGGTGTCTCTGGCACACTCGGGTTGCGTTGTCGCTGACGCCCGGGGCGCTCTCTGTTGAGCAGTGCCAGTCGTTGTCTCTCGCTCTCGTCTCTGCCCATCTCTCCGTCTGTCTCAGTCTCTGTCTCCCTCATCTCTGTCGGATTGCAGAGACGCTCTAGCCGGGCGCCCCCCTCCTCGGGGCTTCGCTCGCGTCTCCCCGCTGCTGAGCCCATCTGGTTTTCTCAGAATCGGGGTTTTGTTCTGAAACAAACGAATCCGCATCGAAGCGCATCGAATCCAAGGGTCCCAGATCGGGCGCCGCGCAGGCAGCGCGGGCCAAGCCCCAGGAGGTGCAGCGGGGCGGCGGCGCAGGCCGAGTTGGGGCAGGCGGGCACCGCGCTGCCCAGGCCGCTCTAGTGGGTGCCCGCGACGGCCTGCTCGCCCCAGCGGGGCGCCGCGAGCTGGGCAGCGCGACGGGCGGGTGAAAAGGGGCTGGGGGCGGCGGCCGCGCAGGGCAGCCCTGCCGGACCAGGTCCGCGGCGCCGCCAATCGCCCTAGGCCCGCCGTCACCCACTCCTCCTTCCGCAGGCGGGCGCCGCGGGCATGGACTATTCCTACGACGAGGACCTGGACGAGCTGTGCCCCGTGTGCGGGGACAAGGTGTCCGGCTACCACTACGGGCTGCTCACGTGCGAGAGCTGTAAGGTGAGCTGGGGAGCCCGCGGGCGGGCCGGCGCTGAGGAGCCCGGGCGAGGAGCCGGAGGTCGGGCCCTACCGCGCTGACTCCTTCTCCCGCAGGGCTTCTTCAAGCGCACGGTGCAGAACAACAAGCACTACACGTGTACCGAGAGCCAGAGCTGCAAGATCGACAAGACGCAGCGCAAGCGCTGTCCCTTCTGCCGCTTCCAGAAGTGCCTGACGGTGGGGATGCGCCTGGAAGGTGCGCGCCCCTGGGGGACGCCAACCCGTGACCTCTGATGGCCTGAGCGGGTAGAGGGCTGAGAGGAGGCCACCACCGGCCTTCTGGAAGTTTCTGGGGCCAGCCGATTGGCCCCTCACGGGACATTAGAGCCTGAGCTGGGTGGGCCTCGGGTCTGGGGAAGGGGATGCGTTCAGGACCAGCCTGGATTGAGTTGAGAATCATCGTACCCTGGGGAGATGGCCCCTTCCCTGGCTCCAAGGGGGGCATCAGTACAGGATAGAGCCCCAGCAGAACTCTTCTCCCCTGGGGATGGGTTCCCCCAACCCACCCACCACCAACCAGAGCCAAGGCCAAGTCCTAGTGCCACCACTTACAAGTTGGGTCACATTGGGCAAATTCCTTAACCTCTGAGTTGTAGTTTTTCTATCTGAAAAATGAGCTTAATGATAGTACCCTCCTTCATGAATTAGGGTGAGAATTGAGAGAATATATGAAAAGTCTATGGTACCAAGTCCATATAAATGCCCCCCAGGCTGGCTGCTGTTATGGTCATATTTCCTGTTACCTGTCCAGGACCAATGACCCACCCTCATTCACCCAGCTGCCCTTCTGTTTGTCCTTCTATCCACCCATCTGAAGGGTTCACTTGGTTCATTCACCCAGTGAGTGAGATTCCTTCCCATCTTAGGCCCCAAGAGGACTGGGGAGTGAGGAACAGCTGCACAGTTGTCCGCAGAGCACTCAGCCCCATTCTTGCCTCCCCACCCCTCCACTCCCAGCCAAGAAAGGAAAGGAGTTTCAGCAGGGGAGTTGCGTGTTCTTTGCAGGTGGACAGGTGTAGGCTTCCGCCTTGCACCTCACCAGGCTGGGCCCCACAGACAGCTGTTGATTCAAGTTTTTGAACAAAATAGAAGGCCCCAAGTGGCTCTGAGGGCTGCAGATCACATGTCTTGCCACCTAGAGGAGGGACTCCTGGATGGGAGGGTATATCCTGCCCGGTCTCCACAGCTCACATTCACATGCCCAGCTCCTGAGGGGTCAGAAGAGCTGGTTGTTGGGAGCAGCAGAAACCCTGGTGCAGCCTGAGGGGAGGCTGCCTAGCTTGTTGGCAGGAAGATCAGACAGGTGGCCCCCAGGCCACCATCTCTACAGAGCGCTGTCCTCTGTCACTTGCTCTCTCTCTTCTCTCAGAGCCCAGGGTGGGGTTTCGTCTGAATGGGGGTGGGGCCAGAGTCCAGCTGCACAGATGAACCTGTTGGGTTGACCGGGTAGAGGAACCCAATAGAGATCCCCTCTCTCAGCACAGAGCCTCAGTCAGCCCTAAACTTGGCTTCATGTTCAAAGCCAGATGGAATCATTTTGCAACCGGGGTTAAACAGAGACAGGCAGCAGGCAATGAGCAACTGGACACTGAGGACCCAGATGTGAACAGGCTGCCAGGACCCCCTTCTGTCACTTTCTCCCCGTGGGACCGTATGCTGAGCACCTGAGCCCAGAGCTGAGCCCACGGGAGTGCTCAGCCCAGGGCACGATGGCGTGATACACACTTAGAAGGATTACAAGTGGACAAGGAGCAGGATATCTGGGGCAGGGACCTAGAAATACTTCAGGTTTGAGGCAGAAAGGATTTTAAAAGCAGTGTGGAGGAGGCAAGAGAAGTGCTAAGCAGAGAGTAGCAAGGAACACAGGGTCATAGGAGGGGTAACCCAAAAAGTTGAGCAGCGCTTTGAATGCCAGACTAAGGGGACGGACTTCACCTATGGGCAGTAGGAGTCGTGAAAGGATATTGAGCAGGGGAGTAATGCAGCTAGATTTGTTTGGAAAGGCTCTGTGGTTGGTATGGAAGGTGGCTTGGAGAGGGTGAGCCTGACCCTCTGCCCCTGCCCACAGCCGTGCGTGCTGACCGCATGCGGGGTGGCCGGAACAAGTTTGGGCCCATGTACAAGCGAGACCGGGCCTTGAAGCAGCAGAAGAAGGCACAGATTCGGGCCAATGGCTTCAAGCTGGAGACAGGCCCTCCGATGGGGGTGCCCCCGCCGCCCCCTCCAGCACCGGACTACATGCTGCCCCCCAGCCTGCATGCGCCTGAGCCCAAGGCCCTGGCCTCTGGTCCACCTGCTGGGCCACTGGGCGACTTTGGGAACCCAGCATTGCCCATGGCTGTGCCCAGTACCCACGGGCCTCTGGCTGGCTACCTCTACCCTGCCTTCCCTGGTCGTGCTATCAAGTCCGAGTACCCGGAGCCCTATGCTAGCCCCCCACAGCCCGGGCTGCCCTATGGCTACTCAGAGCCCTTCTCTGGAGGGCCCAGTGTGCCTGAGCTTATCCTGCAGCTGCTGCAGCTGGAGCCGGACGAGGACCAGGTGCGGGCACGCATCGTGGGCTGCCTGCAGGAACCGGTCAAAAGCCGTCCCGACCAGCCAGCGCCCTTTGGCCTCCTGTGCAGGATGGCGGACCAGACCTTCATCTCCATCGTGGACTGGGCACGCAGGTGTATGGTCTTCAAGGAGCTGGAGGTGAGTCCCTCCTCCCACCTAGCTGGCCCCTGGACCAGACATCCCCTTGGCTGCTCGAGCCTTAGCCTCTACCCTCCCTTGGATGAAGCCATTCTGCCCACTGGCCTCAGGCAGTGTTGAGGACAGAGAGGCCACACTGTGACATTAAGAAGCATTTCTGCTCCATCACAGCCTCCCTGCTCTCTCCCTCTACTCTATTTCTTGAGGCTCTAGCTCGTCCTTTATCTTGGCCTCTGTCTCTTTCTATTGTCTCTCCCGAGGTGCTTCTCTCTACCTCTTCAGTCTCTGTTTCTGCTCCATTCTGAGTCTCTCTCTGCTGGCATTTCTCTCTCTTTCTCTGAGACCCTGGACTCCTTCAAAGGACTAGCTGTGTCCTTGGGAGAGCGTCTTGTCCCGTAGGGTCCCAGCCTAGTGTTGAGAAGGGAATCCAGCCCATCCTGTCCTCCCATTCAGGGGGAGACTCTCAGTCCCTGCCATCCTCAGATGTCACAGATGGGGCTCTAAGTGTCTGAGTTTGAGGTGTCTGTGGGCCCTTTTCCTTCCCAGTTAAGGTGAAAGATCTTACTGCCCTGCATCTTTTGTGTAGGATGGTTTGGGGGTGTGTGTGTGTAGGGAACTAGGTAGGGGGCAGGTGGGAGATTCTGGGGCTGACACTGATCTTCCCAGGCAAGGCACCCCTGCTTCTACTGTGGGGCCTTCTTTCCTCCTTGGTGAGGCACTTGAGGCTGAAGCAAGCAGGAAAGAAGTGGGAGAAACTGTGGCCAGACATAGGGAAGTATTTCTCAGGCATCCTGCCTAGTGGCGTGAAGGGCCTGAAGCCTGGTTACTTTGAAGTGCCCCAGCTCCCTGTGAGGGCTCCCCAGAGGCCCCGCAACCTGGCTGAGGCCCACCCCTCCCTGGCCCGAGTACAGGCCCTCTTTAACTCAAGCCTAACGGTGCTTGGCTTTCCCAGGCCAGTTCCACTGGCTGTTCTAGGGCTGGGTGTAAACAGCAGGCCCCATCGCCCTCCCTGCTGGGGCCACTGCAGCCTTGAGCAGCATTGTCAGTGCTGACGCCACTGGGCCTGGGCTTCCTCCAGGGGCAAGTGGCCGGATGGCCTGGGGGCACTGCCTGCCCTGGGTGGCTGGAGGGGCTTGAGGTGGGTGTGGGAACTCCAAGCCCTAGCGACATCATGGGGTTGAGGGTCTGGGTTGCTCTGGGAGTAAAGAACTGCTGGTGATGGGCCAGGTGTGGTGGCTCATGCCTGTAATCCTAGCACTCTGGGAGGCTGAGGTAGAGAATTCTTAGCCTCAAGTGAACCAACCTGAACAAGAGTAAGACCCTGTCTCTATTAAAAATAGAAAATTTAGCCTGGCATGGTAGTGCATGCCTACAGGTCCAGCTAGTTGACTGAGGCAGGAGGATCACTTCAGCCCACAACTTTGAGGCTTCTGTGAGCTATGATGACACACGTGCCCTCCAGCCCAGGTGACAAGTGAGACCCTATCTCAAAAAAAAAAAAAAAAAGTTGCTGGTGATGGCTCAGCATCCGTAGCTCAGTGAGTAAGGGCGCCAGCCACCTACACCAAAGCTGGCAGGTTCGAGTCTGCCCGGGCCTACTAAACAAGACTGACAACTGCAACCAAAAAATAGCCAGGCATTGTGGTGGGCACCTGTAGTCCCAGCTACTTAGGAGGCTGAGATAAGAGAATTGCTTAAGTCTGAGAGTTTAAGGTTGCTGTGAACTGTGATGCCACAGCACTCTACTAAGGGTGACATAGTGAGACTCTGTCTCAAAAAATAAAATTGCTGGTGATGGCTCCTGCTTCGACTGTGAAGGGCCTGTCATGGCTGAAGCCTGGGGATGTGCCATGTGTCTATCATGGAGTGGGTGGGCCTCTTACTCTAGCTGGCTCTCACTGTTGTTGATTCCTCTCTGGACTGACCAGATGGGCATTCCCACCTGCCTTCTTATGTCAGTCTTGTTGGGGAAGAGGGTCCCCTTGGGTTGCTTGCCAGGCTTCCTCTCTAGTCTTCCCATGAGCCCCTCTGCAGAAGGGGAGAGAAGGAGGGCATTCCCGGCCTTCCAGAACCCTGGATCCAGGGGCAGGGCACTTCCTCTGGCTGCCTTCCTAGTCTCCTGGGGATTTTCACGCAGGATGGGAAGGGCTTTTGTCCCAGCTTTGTTGAGTGTTTTTTCCTGCTTCTGGCTTCTGTGGTCCAAATCTTCCTGCTTCCCCTTCCCAGAATTTCTGAATTAAGCCCAGGAATATAAACCATTGGCACCACCCTCTATAAAGGGTCCTTGCAGATAATTACCAGCCCGGCTCTTAGAGTGCCTTTTGAGTTCTTTTGCACTGGTCCAATGGGCCTTGACCTGGGGTCTGTTTGCAAAGCCCAGAAATGAGGAGACTGAAAAGTGACAGGGATGTGACCCTGGTCTCCCTTTTGGGTGACCATTCAACTCCCCACCTTCAGACAGGACATATCTTAGTGGACAGAAGAGGGGACTCCTTGGCTCTGAGTGTGGGGCAACCCTTGGTCTGGATACTGGGGACATTAAAATGAGTTGGACCCAGGAAGCTGGCACGCTAGTGGAGAAGACAGACATGCATATAGATAACGTCAGTGCAGGGTATCCAGGGCTCAGAGAGCAGGGGAAGGGGCAAAGAGATCCTGGTGGGAGAGCACACAACTACAGCTAACAACTGTAGCTGAGGACATCTGTGCCTTTCTAGAAAGCAGTCAGAGGAGGTGGAGCATTCCAGGCAGTGGGAACAGCATAGGCTAAGGCCTTGATGTGTGGAAAGTTATGTATTCCGGGACTTACTAGTGATCCTGTGAAGCAGGGCTGGACAGGCAGGCAGGGGCAGTGCAGAGCCTGGCCTGGGAGTAGGTCCTTTGGTACAGAGGCCCATGTGGCTCTCTGTGATGCTCATGACACTTTGGTAGGCCTGGGAGCACAGTTGAACTGACAGAGACACGGGGCTCCAGATGCCTTCATGGGGTTTTCCTCTCTCATTCTCTTTCCCAGCTCAGATGGCCTATCCCTCTGTCTGCATTTTCCCTCTCATGCAGTCACAGCATGGGTCATCGGACAGTGGCACAGAAGTTGATATCAAAGACCAAAATCAGAGTGGCCTGTTGTCAAGTTCCAGCTGTGCCACTTACAAGCTGAGTGACTTCGAGCAAGTGACTTAACTCCTTTGGGCCTCAGTTTCCTCATCTATAAAATGGGAGGAGTTTAAATAATATTCACCCTATAGGGTTGTTGTAAGGGTTTAGTGAGTTAGGGCCAGAACAGAAGTCAGTGGGGCCACACTTGGTAAGTTCAGTTAAGTGGGGCCACAGCTCTCTTCCTGTCTGTCCCCTCTGCTGCTGTACCCTTTAATCTGTGCCTCACCCTTGCATGTAC